CTGGCACTAAAACATTTCCTCTGTTCATTAGTCACGTCCCCATGCCCCTCTTACATTCTTTTGCTTTCCACTTTGAATTTTTATTCTCACAAAAAAAATAGATTTACCGTTATGCAGACTACTGCATTGGTGTAGAAATGGTATAAATATTATCAGCGCACTTGTGAAAGAATATTAGACTCACCAGTTTGCGTGTATTGGACGCATAGCATGATTTGTTTACTTTTGAACTTGGGTAAAAATCAAACATTTCTGCTACTTTGAGTGCAATTTCAAGGTAGTTTTCTTTGTAAAACCAGTCAAAATCATCTTAATTTCTGTAATATGTCTTCGATTCTATAAAATGAGACCAGATAAACTAGAATACAACAATAAATACCATACGAAAATACAGTGCAAAGTCGCTGTTTTAATCCAAAAACATGGTCAAAGTTTTTTTTTTCTCATTACGCACTGTGTGCTGCAGGATTTTTTTTATACCGCGCACACTGACCACAGACCCATTCTTTCATATGTAGGCCTACCAGCTTTCTCTCACTAGATTTGAGGGCGCTAGAATTTAGGCGTACTAGTATGTCAAAAACCCTAGTGCGTAAGCCGTACTAGTACGGCCAAAACCCTGAAAGGGTTAACAAGAGGTCCTCTCGACCCTGAAAGGGTTAAGCCACAAAGCACTCAATCCATTTCATTTGATATATCAGCCAATGAAGATTAACACCATTTACAATTTTTATACTTTAATGAGTAAAGTGTTAAACCTGTAGGATCATACAGCCCCTGTGGCATGGGAGGAATTCAAATTTCATTCGAGCAAGGGGAAAATAAGTTCAGTTCCTTGGGTCAAGAGCCCCTCACCAGCATCAAGGAAAATAATGCAACAAAGTAAACTACTATTCCATTTCATGATTCACCCTTAAATTGTCCAAACGTAGATCTACGTTCACTTGCGTAGCGCTCTGAATATTTGTTTTTTTTTTTTTTTAAATGAGCGCATTTCTCTCGGCATCCCCAAATTTTGCCATACTGCGCACTGAGTGCACAGACCCGTTCTCTCATGTCTAGGCAACTCAAGCCTATCATGCCAAAGTTGAAAGCATTTAAAACAAAACTTAGATCTACATTCAGAGCGCTACACACGTGAATGTAGATCTACATTTGGACAGTTCAAGGGTTAAAAGTGGCAAAATGTTATCTACACATTCCATTAAAGATACCAACCTTCAAAGTAGGATACATTAAGTATTGAAATTTTGAAGCCAATCACAAGCCTGTCTTCACTTATCATAGAACCAAAATTTAGGAATGGACTATGTAGCACTGCAAAAACGTAAATGTTAAAAAAAAAAAAAAAAATGGCTGGCATTAATTTTGTTTTTAATTTGTATTCCATTTAATGTTCTCTACTTCCTGGAGAAGTGCTAAGCCTGCTGAGGTCATATAGCACCTGGAGAATAGAAGGAATTCTCACCAGCATCAAGGAACCACTCTAGAGGGGCATTTTTGCATATAAAATGGTCAAACCTGCATCTAGACATCTTAAATTTTTACTCTGCTGCCATAATTTTTTTGGCAACTTCTTTTTTTGAATACCTGAAGCTCCACCACTGAGGATTTTTTTTAAAGTTATTCAAGCCATTACAATAAGATGGGAATTTGTAACAATTTCCAACATAATGGAAACAAGCTCAAAATAATGCTCATATTGTTAAAGATACACAAACCCTAAGCTTTAGTACTTACCAAAGAATTTGACCACATCCTCCACCGTCGCTGACCAGGGCAGACCACGGACCCTGACAACATTTTCTTCTTCACCTTCACCCATTTTTGTTTGCTTTTCGTCTTCTGCAAGGATAAAGGGAATTAAGTCAAAAGATGGAAGCCACACACCAAATCTTTAGCAGTCTAGTTTAATTTTTAACACATCAGCCATCTCCTACCAAGGTTGGGGGTGACTCAAAGAAACACCTTCCCAATCCTTCATTCAAACACTGTCTTGCCAGAAGCTTGCCAACATCCCTACCCCACCTTTAGAGTGCAGGCACTGTACTTTCCCACCTCCAGGACTTAAATCCAGCTAACTGGTTTCCCAAAATCCCTTCTTAAATGTTATCTTGTTCACATTAAACAGGTCAAATCATAACCGAGTCCCTCTGCTCCTATCTCGCATGCTTACACAAGCCCCCAGCACCTGCAAACTTTCATTACCCCCTCCTTCCAATCTTTCCTGGGCCATCCCTTACCCCACCTTCCCTCTACCAGATTTATACGCCTTCTTAGTCACCCTATTTTATTCCATCTACTGTATGCAATGTAATGTATGTATGTATGTATATATATGTATGCGCAATGGTACCCCGAGTTTCATCCATAGTTCGTTCCAGGTTGTTCGAGTGCCGTTACCGAATAAATGTGTTCCCATAAGGAAAAAATGTAAATTAGGTTGGTCTGTTTCACACCCCAAAAAATACACTTACAAGAGCACTTACATAACTGTTCGAGTTGGGAGCTGTATGAAACTTGGGGTACCACTGTACAGTGGATCCCCGGTATTCGATAAATCTGGTATTCGATGCATTTTAACAAAATTTTCACCTCTGTATTCGATCGAAAACCCGGTATTTGATACGATTCGTACGAGATGTGTCCGCGTGTGGCCTGAACTGCCCCGTGTGTGCCAGTATTTACAAGCCAGCCAGTGTGCGCGCATCTAAGGATACCTTCGGTACATTCCATATTATCATTGTTTTTGGTGCTTGTTTCTGCAAAATAAGTCACCCTGGGCCCCAAGAAAGCTTCTAGTGCCAACCCTGTGGTAAAAAGGGCAAGAATTAGTATGGAAATTAAGAAAGATTTTGAAGGGTTTGGGGTTAACCCTGAGAAGTCTATGCCAGTTGTGGAATCCATTGTGCCTACTTCAAAAATTAAGGAAATGTGTGCAAAGTGGGTTGAACTGCAAACCTTTATGGATGAAAATCACCCTAACACAGCTATTGCAAGCCGTGCTGGTGACTATTACAATGACAATGTTGTGACCCATTTTAGACAAATCGTAAAGGAATGGGAGGTACGGAGCTCTATAGACAGATTTGTTGTGCGACAGAGGTCCAGTGACTCTCAAGCTGGTCCTAGTGGCATTAAAAGAAGAAGGGAAGTAACCCCAGAAAAGGACTTGCTACCTCAAGTCCTAATGGAAGGGGATTCCCCTTCTAAACACTAACACCATCCACACTCTCCCCTCCTCCCATCCCATCAATCATCACCAGATCTTCTTTAAAGATAAGTGTCAATTATTCTATTGTTATTGTTGTTATTGTAACTATTTTATTGCATTAAACTTAATATTTCATGTGGTAAAATATTTTTTCATACTTTTGGGTGTCTTGCACGGATTAATTTGATTTCCATTATTTCTTATGGGGAAAATTGATCCGCTTTTCGATATTTTCGGTATTCGATGAGCTCTCAGGAACAGATTAATATCAAATACCGGGGGTCCACTGTATATACGTATGTTCAAACCACCTCAACAACCCCTCCACCACCCTTTAACCCTTTGAGGGTCGACAGGCCCTCTCTGAAACTCGTTCTCAGGGTCGGCCAAATTTAAAAAAAAAAAAATATTTTCTCTTATGAAAAGATAGAGAATCTTTTCCCGATCATAAAGACACCAAAAGTTTGAAATTTGATAGAAAACTTACGGAATTATGCTCTCGCAAAGTTAGCGGTCTCGGCGATGTTTACGCATCGGCGATATTGCCCACTTTGAGCCCCATTTTCGGCCAATTTCACTGTACTAGTCGACAAAAAACATGAATATTTCGCTAGAACTCCACTTTTTCTATCAAATGGGTGCAAGAAACCACCCATTTATAAATTCAACTATCCAGTACAGTGGTCAGAATTTAGCAATTTTGCCAATTTCACACAAATTTCAAAAGATGCCAATTTCCAAATAGGGTCCAGAATAAACAAGAAAGACATTCCTGGCACTAAAATGACATTTCCTCTAGTCATTAGTCACGTCTCAAGGCCCCTCTTATATTCTTTTGCTTTCCACTTTGAATTTTTATTCTCACAAAAAATATAAGATTTACTGTTATGCAGACTACTGCATTAGTGTAAAAAATGGTATAAATATTATTGGTGCACTTGTAAAAGAATATTAGACTCACCAGTTGACGTGTATTGCACGCTTGGCACGATTTGTTTACTTTTGAAGTTTGGTAAAAATCAAACATTTCTGCTACTTTGAGCTCAATTTCAAGGCACCTTTCATTGTAAAACCAGTCAAAATCATCTCAATTTCTGTAATATATCTTCCATTCTATAAAAATGAGACCAAGAAAACTAGAATACAACAATAAATACCATACGAAAATACACTGCAAAGTCGCCGATTTATTAAAAAAAAAATGGTCAAAGTTTTTTTTTTCTCATTATGCACTGTGTGCTGCAGGATTTTTTTTAGACTGTGCACACTGACCACATAGACCCATTCTTTCATATGAAGGCCTACCAGCTTTCTCCCACTAGATTTGAGGCCGCTAGAATTTATGAGTACTAGTACGTCAAAAAACCCTACGCGGAAAACGTACTAATACGACCAAAACCCTCAAAGGGTTAAATACTTATGGTAACCCCACACCAAATGTTTAGCTAAGTTTTGAAGTTCTCTGTATAATATTCACATCAAGTTACCTTCAAGAGTAATATCTCTGCTGCCTCTAACCTCCTCGCTGAAATGTTTAACCCCTTCATTGTCTGTGACTCAGTACTACGGGTCTGAGGTCACTGTCCATGCCATAGTACTATGGGTTTAAGATCACTGTCCAAGCCATAGTACCACGTCATGAGCTCAGCGCACTCATAAGCTTTGAGCGGTAAATTTGGGCCTAGACAAGATAATGGGTTTATGCAGTAAGTGTGCATCATATAAAAAAATCCTGCAGCATGCAATGCACGAGAAAAAACTGACTTTCTGGTTTAAAACAGCAACTCTGGAGTGTATTTTTATATGGTTTTTATGATTGTATTCTCAATTTCTTGGTCTCATTTGATAGAATGAAGATACATTACAGAAAGAGATGATTTTGATTGATTTCAGGACTGAAAATAAGCTTTATATTGAAGTCACAGTAGCAGAAATGTTCGATTTTTGCAAATATTCAAGAGTAAACAAATAACATCGTTTGTCCAATACATGTCCAAATGGTGGGTTTAATATGCACTCAAATGCACTGTTATTATTTATACAATTACTACAATACTGCATAACAGTAAATCTTTAATTTTTTTTAATTAAAAACAAAAAAATTGTGTGAAAAATTAAAAATGGAATTCACTTATAAAGCCTGGGAACGTAACTAAGAGGAAATGTCACTTTATTACCAGGAATGCCTGCCTTGTTTATTCTGGACCCTATTTTGAAATTTGAATAAAATTGGCCCTATTACTAACTTCTGGTCACTTTGACTCACGAAATCGTAATGACAATTGCAAACAAACCACACCACGGGCGGGGATAGAACCCGTGATCAGAGAGTCAAAACTCCAGACCGTCACGTTAGCCACTGGACCAGCTAGTCACAATAAGATTTGTCCAACTAGGTATATTTCTACACCATAGGAAGGTTAGCACAGGCACCACTGTGACCACAAATGCAAGTTTTTACAGATGAATCTCCAGCAAGCGTGGCCGTGACAAACTCTAGCTCAAGTCCCCTAAAAGCAGTCAACATGACTCACGAAATCGTAATGACACGATTGCCAACAAACCATACCACAGGCAGGTATAGAACCCGCGATCAGGCTCTCAAAACTCCAGACCGTCGCATTAGCCACTGGACCAGCCTTTGTGGTCACAGTGGTGCCTACACTAACCTTCCTATGGTGTAGAAATATAACTAGTTGGGCGAATCTTATTGTGGCTAGCTGGTCCAGTGGCTAACGTGACAGTCTAGAGTTTTGAGACTTTCTGATTGCAGGTTCTATTCCCGCCCGTGGTATGGTTTCTGGTCACTTGATTGGGTAGTTGAAATAGTTGACTGCGCAGTTTCTTGTGCTCAGTCAATAAAGTGGAAGACATGCTAGCAACATACTTAATCTGGCCTAGACTAAAACAGAAAGTGGGCAAAATCACTGATGTGTAAATATCAGACAAAATTCACAAAAAGCATAATTTTGTCAATTTTCCATCAAATTTCATACTTTTGGTTTCATTACCTTCAGAAAAAGATTCTCTATCATTTCATAAGAATTTATTTTTTCTTTGGAAAATTCTTGGACACACACAAACTCTCAGATCAGGGTCCAGACAATGAAAGGGTTAAAACCTATACTTCATACCCATACGTTACAACTACACTTTTTTGTCTCTCTGGATAAGGTACTTTGTCTATAAAAATGCCTCTGTGCACCACCCATCTTCCCTCCCCCCCTCGTAAATTCCAGGGCGGTTACAGGATAGTAACATCTTATTGATCTCCACATTGCACAAATGACCCACACATAAGAGGGGGAGCTTACAACAACGTTTCGAACTAACTTGGACCACTTACTGTGATTTTGTAAATGGTCCAAGTCAGATCGAAACATCATAAGCTCCCCTCTCCTATGTGTGGGTTATTTGTGTATTTTTCCTGCCACAGCACTGTGCTTTTTTTTCTTATTCTCCACACTGGTTCGAGCAACATTCACAATAACTAGTGGTTGCAGATCAAGTAGTCTAGCCCCACACGTTTATCGTGCCCATAGCTTCCCTGTTTTTCACTGAGGACTGGTTACCAGTGGTACTCCACGTGAGTCAGCCTTGGGCCTTTTACTGTTCACAATAAACAAACGGGAATAGCAAGTTTGCCAACACTAAAATAGGCTATCAAATTCTGAATGACACTACCACATACTGACCTAAATAGGTCAATGTGGTTGGAGAAATAGCAGATGCAGTTTAATATAGACAAATATAAGGTTCTAGTCCTGTTAAAGGAAAATTATTATGGCACCTAAAAACTAGATGTACTGTAGATTTCAAACAATGCAAAAATGATTTAGGCGTGCTAGTTAGCAGTAATCTAAATCCAAGACAACAGTGCATAAGTGTTAGCAATAAAGCTAATAGCATTCTTTACTTCATATTCAGAAGTATAATTAATACAAGTCCTAAAATTATACATTAACTTTATGAAACCTTGGTAAGGACTCATTTAGATTATGCTGCACAGTTCTGCCTATTACAGTGGACATAAATCTGCTAAAGACACAAAGAATATGATGATCCCGTGTTCACCAAAAACCAGCACTTAGAGAAAAGTTAAGATAACATTTCAGTTCATCCTAAACCACTGTCAAATCATGATCAAGTGACAATGACCCAGAACATCCCAAAGTTCTTCTACGTGAGAGTTTTGGGTAAACGGTTCCAGCCACGGTACCAAGACATTTTTTATGATGCTGTGTACGGGAAATTTTTCGTACGAGGTTAAACTGAGGGTACATACTTAAACTGCCCTCTCTGGAAAAGGAGTAAACGCATAGAGAATATGATTTAAGAGTAGAAATGAAAGACAGAAATAAAGGAGATATAAATAACATGCTGTAAATACCTAACCAAGACAGGACTTGCAGCAAAGAGTTAAAGTTGGAAAACTTAAGTTTAGCAAGGATACTGGAAAGTACTGGTTTGTCAACAGTAGTGGAGTGGACGAAACTCCCAAGTAGCACTATTGAGGCAAAAAACCTTTGGTAGCTTTAAAAATGGTTGGACAGGCACTTGCCTAGCAGGAACCTGCCGCAGTGCTCCACATCCCTCACTCCAATACATTATGGTAGTCTGCAAATTTGGGACTTAGCCTTTAAACATACCAACTACATTACCACGTCTCTTGCCTGCTTTCCTGAGGAAGTTTATTTATAATTAAGCACAGGTACACGTAAGTACAATTATCATAGTGTCAATTACCTAGGATGACCAAAAAAAAAAACTCAAAGGTGACTTATTTCTAATTTCCGAGGTATTCCCAGTAGCTTAAATGTTTTATTGGGTCTATGTTAGTGGATGTGACTTTGACCTGACTACTTTAGTCCATTAAGTGGCAGACCTGCCTAGCATGAACCAGTAGGCCTGCTGCAGTACTCCTTTCATGTTGACAATACCTAAGCCAACCTGAAGTTGATATGGGTCTGGCAAGACTGTTTACATTTGATGTAATCAGCCCAAGAAGCATCAATTATAACCATTCACTGGCGCTGAAGTGCTGCACGTCGACTAATTAAGTTTATTCAGGTACAAGTATAATTATCATACACTGTAACGTGGAAATTAATTAGGATAATCCTAAAAAGTCAGTGACTTATTTCCACTGGGGTCCTAGTAATATCTTATTTTATTCAAATTTCCTATATTTGCACAACTGATCCTGCCTAATAAGGGCCTGTAAGCCTGCTGCACTGCTTCTTTCTTACATTCCTTTTAATTTTTCAAAAAGGACGATCTCCACACCAGCCAAATTCTGCTGTATAGACAAAACTGGCTAAATAACGTTAGCTCAAGCTTGAGAAATCTCTTGGAGAGTGAAACGTTGCCACAATAGTGTCACTAGTTGCATGTGTCCAATACCCAACATTTTTGCTGAAAATTGTACGTTTTATTACCAAACAGTTTGTTGGAAATTTACCATTATGGCTAAATAACGCTTCTTTATATATAAATTTGTTACATTTAGTATCACTTACACAAGTGACTGGCTTAGTCAAGTAGGCCTGCTGCAGTGCTCCTTTATGTTATTAGAATAATCACATTAAGCATCAATGGTAGTATATTTCAGGCTACTTTCATACGTAAGCGCCAAACTCGTTGGCAGGTCACATGTAGCGTCTTGGGAATAGTTAGGTAATCAGATATGATCCGAGGAAGAGGTGGATATTTCAAATTCCCTGATCAAATATCCTTGGCTAGCATCTAGTCGCCCATGAGGGTGCTAATGCTGAGGTGTCGTTGGACCCACGCCGCCACACCATGTGAAATATCTTTAAAATATTCATAAATCCTTAAAAAAGCAATGCATCCATGCAGTACAAGTGCAGCAAATAAAATTTTAAGTGACTCGAATCCTTCCACCAGCATGACTCAAGAGGAACGCAAAATGACGGTAAAGTTTGTGCCCACGCGGGTGGGGAGACGCGCAACATGGCGTCCCTCTCACCCCGCCGCCGCCGGCTCATGCCACTCTTACCTCCGTCAGACATCACACAGCAGCGTCAGCACCCGGGTCGGTAGTTCTAGTGGCGTCCTCGAGGTACTGCCCGGCAGGAAGAATCACAGGAGGCCACCAATAACCCCAAAAAGTACAATGAGCGGGGCGATATACTAACCCGAGTGCGGTGCGACACCTTGGTCGTGGCGAGGTGTGAGCGTCTCTGGTGGGGCGACGCCTAGCGGACTCCCTCTCAACCTCAGGCGGAGTAATACACCCACTAAATTCAAAATTGCAGAGTAAATTCAGGAATAAAGCTCGCACTCCTGGAGCTAGAACAATTAAAAAGACACTTCCTATTTTGGTGTGTATGAGTGTGAGTGAGTACGTGCGTGGGGTCAAGGACCCCGTATGTTACTATGGTAATCTGTGTAATTATGTATCTATACCTGTACCTAAATAAATTTAAATTCTGAGACTATTTTTTTGGGGGGGTATCCTAGGTAATTTACACTATGTATGATAATTGTACTTATGTGTACCTGTGCCTAAATAAACTTAACTTTCTGAATTGTGTTTGTGGTGGACGGTTCACTGCTCCTTGTGGGTTCACTTGGCCTACGAACTACCACTACATAAATGGTATACAGTACTGATTAGTTGATGAATAAAATATATGCTCAATACCTTTATGAAACCTCTTGGCCTACATCTTATGGCCTAAGTTTAGTGAAAGGACACAACTGCAATTAGTGCGACCTTCTATTATCGCAAAGTTTCGCTCTCCAGGAGTATTAGTTGCACTTGTGACCTATTACTTAACATATTGTCGGTAATTCTACCAATATTAATACAATCTTATGGACTGGTTGGTGAAATGTCTTGGCCTAATAGACTTGAACCTCTCAGGTTTAAGCTGTGAATAGAAAAAGCCTCCACTGCTTCCTTAAATCACCATATTTCTCATCTGTCTTTGACCTCCATCTTTATTCCCCTGTACCAGATTCTATCCTCTCGAACAGCCTGTCTTTGTCCAGTTGATTCTCAGACTCAGATTTTATGCGTCGAGATCGTATTCCCTTTACTGTCCTGGCTCCGAAAGTCTTGAGATATTACCGGGTATCACATTCCTCTGAATTCCAGGACGAGTTTTATTGCAAACATTTGAACCTTTTCTTGCATTGGCACATGCTTTACCAGGTGGAAGTTCCATGCTGAGGATATGTTTACCACCATATATGTCCCTTGCATGTTATGTATAGCTCGTAAATAGTTCTTTAGGTTCCTGAATGCTATTATAAGATTCACCAGCCTAGCATATGCTACCAGTGTGACATATTTATTGTGATTGCGATTCCAAGGTCATTTTCGTTCTGTTGTGATAAATTTGTCTCCCTTTGCCATATCCTGTCAGTGTCCCGACGCACACATAGTCAATACACCTCCAGAGAATCTTCTTAGCTGTTCTGGCACCCGGGCTGCGGCCTGAGTGCTGGGAATGGCTCAACTGGAGTCGAGTCACCATGCTTTTGTCATAGGGCTGCCCCCGTCATAGGGCTGTAAACGGTACTCCACCTGACACAAAGACGGTTCACCGCGCCCTTGCCATAGGGCTGTAAGCGGTACTCCACTTGACACCGCGCCCTTGCCACAGGGCTGCCCCCGCCATAGGGCTGTAAGAAGTACTCTACTTGACCTGCAGAAGACTTACCATGTCTTTGTCATACGGATATAAACGGTGCACTACGTGACATGAATGTTCACCGTGCCCCTGCCACAGGGCTGTTTACCTGGAGTTTACCTGGAGAGAGTTCCGGGGGTCAACGCCCCCGCGGCCCGGTCTGAGACCAGGCCTCCTGGTGGATCAGAGCCTGATCAACCAGGCTGTTGCTGCTGGCTGCACGCAAACCAACATACGAGCCACAGCCCGGCTGATCCGGAACTGACTTTAGGTGCTTGTCCAGTGCCAGCTTGAAGACTGCCAGGGGTCTGTTGGTAATCCCCCTTATGTGTGCTGGGAGGCAGTTGAACAGTCTCGGGCCCCTGACACTTATTGTATGGTCTCTTAACGTGCTAGTGACACCCCTGCTTTTCATTGGGGGGATGGTGCATCGTCTGCCAAGTCTTTTGCTTTCGTAGTGGGTGATTTTCGTGTGCAAGTTCGGTACTAGTCCCTCTAGGATTTTCCAGGTGTATATAATCATGTATCTCTCCCTCCTGCGTTCCAGGGAATACAGGTTTAGGAACCTCAAGCGCTCCCAATAATTGAGGTGTTTTATCTCCGTTATGCGCGCCGTGAAAGTTCTCTGTACATTTTCTAGGTCGGCAATTTCACCTGCCTTGAAAGGTGCTGTTAGTGTGCAGCAATATTCCAGCCTAGATAGAACAAGTGACCTGTAATTATTATTATAACCATGGGAGAGCGCTAAACCCGTAGGGATTATACAGCACCTGTAGGGGGGATGATAGGTATTCAGGCTCAATTCAGGGAACTGGAGCACAGATCCAGTTCCCTAAATCAAGAGCCCCTCACTAGCGTCAAGGAGTCTCCATTGACGGTACTTGTACCAACTCTGACACTCCTTCAGGAGCCACTGCCGGGTCACCACATGGAGAAATCCCGGGCCAGGATCCGTCCTGGCAAACATATATGGACATAAATATCATAATGTCCTGTTCCCATTACCTTGCTTATCTTTTGGTCGAATTCAAAGAACGATTTGTGTATACTCACTTACATGTAGTTGCAGGGGTCGATTTACATCCCCTGGCCCAGGAGCTGTGTGTGTGTGTGCTCACCTATGTTGTTGCAGAGATCAAGTCTCAGCTCCTGGCCCCGCCTCTTCGTTGGTAACTACTAGGTTCACTCTCTCCTGGCTACGAGAGCCTTATCGTACTTCTTTTTTTATGTGTTTGTACACACTGATTTATGTCTGCGGGGGTCGAATATTGGCTCATAGTTCCACTCCTTTAGCTTCAGTACCGGGATTATTGTTGGCTTCTTGAGCCCCTATCACTTTTCTTTTTTATTCTCCCGTTCAGCTTGGCGTTATACCTTAGGTAGTTTATGAAGTCTTATTACTGTGTTCACAAAAGAGCGCTAAACCAGTGAGGGTAATGCAGTGCTTCATAAGGTAGAGGAAAAGGGTAGGGTGATGTATTGTGAAGTGTTATTATGAATGTGAAAGGATAAACTTATTGCCGGCCTAATACGTCTAGAATGAGTTGGTGTGGTTGAATTCTCGAAATTTGCGTGTAAAATTCCTAGTTTGTGTCACGGATATAATAAGTGTCTGAGGTTCAGTCCCCGGCACGGGTGGAAACGAGGGTCTCCCTTACAACTGCTGACCCTGTTCACCTAGCAGTAAGTACGTACGTGGGTGTTAGTCACCTTACACCTGTTGTCCCTGTTCACCTAGCAGTAAGTACGTACGTGGGTGTTAGTCACCTTACACCTGTTGTCCCTGTTCACCTAGCAGTAAGTACGTACGTGGGTGTTAGTCACCTTACACCTGTTGTCCCTGTTCACCTAGCAGTAAGTACGTACGTGGGTGTTAGTCACCTTACACCTGTTGTCCCTGTTCACCTAGCAGAAGGACGTACGTGGGTGTTAGTCACCTTACACCTGTTGTCCCTGTTCACCTAGCAGTAAGTAGGTACCTGGGTGTTAGTCACCTTACACCTGTTGTCCCTGTTCACCTAGCAGTAAGTAGGTACCTGGGTGTTAGTCGACTGGTGTGGGTCGCATCCTTAGGGACAAAACTGAAGGATCACAATGGTAATAAGATAATCTTCGATAACGCACTGACTTTCTTGGGTTATCCTGGGTGGATAACCCTCCCTACCTCGGGTTAAAAATCCAAACATATCGTATCTTAGATATAAGAAAACTCTTCGTTCCGTCACAGCTCAGATTTTTCATAACTTTCTTCAAGGAATTTTGTTTTTCTCCAGGACTTTGCGAGTGTTCCAGAGTGTGAATTTGTATTTAACTGCTATAGTTTCCTAAGTTCATTGATGTCTGGAATGATGTCATAGCCATCTCCGCATTACATATTCACCAAAAAGACTTCCATATTCATTGTTTTGATTAATAAACAAACATCAAACATATTTCGTAACCTTGCGATTACTGATCGTAAAATATTGCTCATCAGTTCAATAAAGCTTTTTTTCTCTCTCTCGACACGAATAACTTGAGTTTTGGATACTGTAACAAAGCTCATAGGGTATCGGATCCCGAGGTATTAAGCATGCATCTATAAAAACTTATTTTGGAAAATGGAAGATGCTGGATGACCATCCTAGATTTGAAATATCTACACAGTTTTTCAGTCGATAATCAGTCTATATGCAGAATAACCACTGAAAAAATAGTGAAATTCCAAGAGCGTACGTGATTTTTCACATTATCATGGATCTATAAAAATAAAAGATTAACAGGAAGGGATATGATGGTGTTAATCTTTAATTTTTATAGTTCCATGATAATGTGACAAATCACGAAAGCACTTGGAATTTCACTATTTTTTCACGTTGATTATTCTGTATTTTATATCACCTGTTCACTGTGAGCTTACTGAATCGATTTATATGTATACGAATTATTACATTGAGGGGTAAGCGCTAAACCCTGAAGAATGAGAGATAATCAGGTTCGACAAAAGGGGAGATAATCCCTAAGTCCTTAGATCAAGAGCCCCTTCAGCAGCATCAAGTCCTCTTCGTGAAATGTATACGTAAAAAAAATAATGTTTGAAAATGTGTAGGTGTAGATTCTGGACTGTCACTAGTACCTTAGTCTCATAGATAAGGGTTAAACAAGAGAGACATTCAGATTTGAAACAAAAAAAAAGAGAGGGAGGGCAGCTTCAGTTGCTTGTATCATGGCATCTCTCTTAATTAATCTTCAGCTAACAGGTGCACATAAATATTTAATGTTCTCAAATTTCATCAGTCGAATACAGTCGGAGACAGTATAAGAAGTTTTGACGTGATCAGTCTATCAGGTTTGGCAGGTGGTCAGTCTTAGACATGGAGAACCAGTGCCGGGTCACCACCTGGAAAAGACCAGAACCAGGACTAACCCGGCGAACCTACTAAACACAGAACCAGCTCCTCGAGGTTTGACTAACAGATCACTTCTTACAACAAAGCTGACGGAGTAATCACCTAAAACTAAAACTACTACTACTGTCACTAGCGTTATTTCACCTGCATTCGACTAAACAAGCATGTTATGACAGAGAAACATTTTACCAATAGATACCCAGGTGTTGCTCATGTATCTAAAACATCATCTTGTCGGTATTGTATACCATCAGACTTTGATAATGTACTGTAAAAAGCGAATCTTAAAAAAGGAATTTTTTCATACTGAACGATTATTATTATTTCAATTATTATTACTATTTAACGTTAGTATTAGCATATTAAATTAATATATTAACAAAGAAGCTGTAAACAGCACTGCTTTTGGAAGGAATTTGTAAACAGTAATTTACTGTCAGCCATATCCTAATACTTTCTATTTATCTTACTTATAACAAATATTAATAGGAAAAGACGGAACTAAGAATATTACAAATATTTTATTACAATATACATAGTGGAAGATAAATATTTCATAAATAAATATTTATTTACATAATCATACTATATACATAAATCTTAATTATAAAATATGAGCTTAAAATACCTTTGAATCACATTTACCTTACATAATAGACAAAAGTTGATTAAATAATTCTGGTTATATCTTGCACAACAAATGTTAAAAAGATACATATTAAGTTAATAAGACTGAAGGTTCGACCGTCTACTGACGCTATTCCCACCCTTCAAGGGGCGAGCCTGTGGTGGGCTCTTGATCCAAGGAATTGGAACTAAGTTTTTCACCTAGAATCCTAGCTCCATCACCTTCCATTCCCCCAAAACGTTTTATGACCCCCCACGGGTTCAGCGCCTTCATTTGAACTTAATAATGCACATGATTCGTCTTGATGGGATTCTTTAAGAAATTTAAATTACTGATGCTGCTGTGGCTGAAGAATAGGAAGAAAATACGCGTATTTCACTAAGCAAAATTTGAAAGATGGAAAAAGCAGCGATTAATTTAATATTTTTTTGTTAACAATACACACAGAATTATACCGCACACACATATGTAAATTATATACAACATTTACACACACACACACACACACACACAATATATATATATATATATATATATATATATATATATATATATATATATATATTATATATATATATATATATACACACACACACATACATGGTTAGTTCTTTAATTTAATAAGTGTATGGAAGAGGGTAAGATTCCTAGGGACTGGCAGAGAGTACGCATAGTTCATTTGTATAAAGGCAAAGGAGATAAGAAGTGTAAAAAGTATAGAGGAATAAGCCTGTTGAGTAGTATACCTGATAAAGTGCATGGTAGAGTTATTACTGAAAGAATTAAAAGAAGACCGAGAGCAGGATAGCAGATGAACAAGGAGGCTTTGGAAGGGTAGGGGTGTGTAGACCAAGTGTTTATAGTGAAACATATGGTTGAACAGTATTTATACAAGAGTAAAGAGGTTTTCATGGATTTGGAAAAGGCGTATGATAGGGTGGATAGGGAGGTAATGTGGCCTTAGTTGCAAATGTATGGAATAGGAGATAGGTTACTGAGGATAGTGAGGCTCAGGTTAGAGTATGTAGGAGAGAGGGAGATTATTTCTCAGTAAAAGTAGGGCTTAGCCAGAGATGTGTGATGTCATCATGGTTGTTCCATACATTTATAGGTGGGGTTGTAGAAGTGAATGCTCGGGTGTTGACAAGAGGCGTGAGGTTAAAGGATAAAGAATCTAACATAAAGTGGGACTTGTCATAGTTGATCTTTGCTGATGAAACGATGACAATGGTTTTGGGAGATTCTGAAGAGAAGTTTGAGAGATTCTGAAGAGAAGATTGGATATCGGTTTCGAGGGAGGGAGTATGGAGGAGGTGAATGTATTCAGATATTTGTCAGTGGACATATCAGCAGATGGGTCTATGAAAGATGAGGTGAATCATAGAATTGATGAAGGAAAAAAGGTGAGTGGCGCATTGTGGAAACAAAAAAAAAAACGCTATCCAGAGAGGCAAAGAAGGGAATGTACGAAAGTATAGTGGTACCAACACTCTTATATGGGTGTGAAGCTTGGGTTGTAAATGTTGCAGCGAGGAGCCGGCTGGAGAAAGTGATGTCCTGTCTTAGGGCAATGTGTGGTGTAAATATTATGCAGAGAATTCGGAGTGTGGAAATTAGGAGGTGTGGAGTTACTAAAAGTATTAGAGGCTAAAGAGGGGTTGTTGAGGTGGTTTGGTCATTTAGAGAGAATGGACCAAAGAAGAATGACTTGGAGAGTATATATATATATATATATATATATATATATATATATATATATATATATATATATAATATATATATATATATATATATATATATATATATATTATATATATATATATATATATATATATAAATTACCATTTATTAAGTACCGTCATAATCACAAAATGATGGGATTGGGTTAGGTGAGGGTTGGTTTACCTGGAGGGGGGTTGCAATTGTTAAGTAAGTTTTCTTTCATTAATATTCTTCTTATTTACAGTAATAATTAATTTTGCACCTTTGTTAAACATTCCTCTGCCTAACTTATCCAAACCCACCTTAACCATATCAATGGCTATCTCACACAAACCATAACACTTCTCGTTTGAGAGTATGCTTGGCATAAATATACCGATAATCAATTTAGGTAAATGGACACATCTACACTTGCAAATCTGTCCGCTTTTTCATTCAGTCAGTATTGGGTAAAACCATTTCATTGACTTGGGGACAGACAATTTGTCTTCCCAAGTCTAGTGGGTGCATTCTTCTCGACCACTACCACGGTTTCACCCATGCTGAGAGCATCATCCAGTATTCTAGAGTATGTTGGCGAGGAAATCTCCATTCATTTATCAGGAGCGACTACAGGAGAATACTTCGAAGCGCGCATTACCTGCGAAGCCCCGAGAATCAAATGTCACCAGGGAGACCCTCTCCTGTCCTGCTGACAGGTAGAGACCTGCAGAGAGAGTGATGATCAGTGAATGTGTCGATGAAAGTGGTGTAGCATATAAGGTGTGAATGAAGTTGTTGTAGCCTATAAAGTGTCAATGAAGGTGGTGTAGCCTATAAGGTGTTAATGAAAGTGGTGTAGCCTATAGTGTCATTGAAGTTGGTGTAGTCTATAAGGTGTCAGTGAAGGTGGTGTAGCCTATCAGTGAAGATGAAAATTTACTATAAAGACAAAAGTAGTGGCAAGAATAGCAAAACAGATGAATCTGCTCCATGCATATCAGATACACAGAAGTTCCAGACTGTATTATATGATGACAAATATCTTAACAACATAAAATAAGGAAGGTCTATGCATAAAGAACGTTTCACTCTACTGGATGATGTTGGGGAGGAAACTGAGGATGCTTGCATGAGTATAAAAAATATATCTTAGAAAAGGTAATGTTATTCTCTTTCTTATGCTTAGATGGTGGATAATATTATAGAATATGAGTTATTGTTCCCCCCCCCCCCCCGAAAAAAAAACGCAATGAATCTCGAAGGACGGAAAACCAGAGATGTCAGAAAAGACGTAAGGACGTGCAGTAGTGTTGCGCAGAATGCTTGACATGAAACTGCAAAACAAACAGGATTTTATTATAAAATAAAGGGGAGGAAAGACTATTTTGTTTTGTCCGAAACTGAAAAAAAGTGTCTTCTAACCCACTCAGCGAAACTTTTGGTAATTTGACTTAAGGTTTCCTCTGGTTTAGTCAATTCCATTAAAATAAAGCACCTCAGGGTGAATCACCTCAATTAATATTCTAGTATTATGCATATCTTATTTTACACATGGTATCTGGTACCATCTCTTACCAATACAGATTAAGGTGCTCTACGTTACATTAACATTAAAGCAAACGGCCAGATAGTTCCAGTATAAACTTTCACAAATGTTCGAGATGAATGAAAATAACAAGTGTTCAGATATCACCAGCCTCACATGAACCAACAGACTCGCTTAGGTTATCCTCTTTCCTTACTGACTACCGCAAGTGTTGACAAGTGACACTGACCTGTAGTGATGTGTTTAATTCTGTAATGGGAGGCACCCAGAGGGCTGTGTAGAAGAAAGAATCTGCCGTCTATTTGACTCAGGCTGGTAACGTCGTTTCCCTCGCTCTGTAAATTCACTTACATGAGGCTCTCGCTGGTAGTTTTGTTCATCAGGAAACAGAACAAGTGTTTCCTGACTTTGGCTTTGTCAGGGATATCAGTCTTATTAAGTCGAAATACCAAAATCATCATTAGTGGATATAAGACAATGTGAAAATGAATATCAAAATGGTATACAATACCGACAGGTTGGTAGGTAAGACACATAGGCAACAGTTAGGCAACTTTATTCCGAAACGTTTCGCTTGCACAGTAGGCTTCTTCAGTCGAGTACAGAAAGTAAGCCTACTTTGTAGGCGAAACGTTTCGGAATAAAGTTGCCTAACTGTTGCCTGTGTCTTACCTACTAAAATGTGAAAATGCTTGAAAAATACTAAAAAAACTTGTACCGATAACATTCTGTATTAGAACTGCAAGGAATATGATAGTTAATGAATTGGCAGGAAGACATACTGACCGTGAGGGAGAGATTGCCAGAGGAGGTGCCATGGAGGAAGCGGCCACCATTATAAGTCTCCAGCACAGCCACTTGACCACCTTCAGGGAAAGGCGTCAGCACGTCAAAAGTGTGCACCCGAAAACACTCTGTTAGAAACACAAATATGTAATAACAAATATGACAACTGTACATTGTACATGCTGCTGTAGGTTTTTTTTTGTTGTTGTTGTTAATTAAGAACATTTTGAGCTGACGTCAAAGTATTACCTCATAGGCTCTTGCTTTACTGCAGCACACTGACAAATGTCAATGTTTTGCACATGAATATAACATTATAATCAGCATATCAAGACAGTACCTGGTCATCTGCACTAATAAATTTAATTAAATATTTAAAATCTGCCAAGGTTTCCGACTGTTCTCTCAACTTCGTTCTACACATCACCTATCTAGGTCACATTATCAGTAGTGATAAATGATATAAGCAAACCTAACCAGGAAAATTAATGAATTTAATGAAGTAATTCTTTGATTTAGAAAATTTGCTCCTTGTAGTGTAAAATAAGAGCTTTGCCGAAAGTACTGACACCCACTAAAAGGAAATTCACTGAGAGCCACCAGTCGTGCATCGTTCCTTAAAAATCTCATTCGTTGACTTTTACTTAAGTTTACTTCGCATTAAACAACTGAACCGCTGAAATTCAGTTTCATTAGTTTGAAGTGATCCTGTTACCCACTGGATGCTTGTTTTAAACCCGAGAACACGGACTTAGGCAACAGAATATTTTCTTAATCTAGTCGAACAAGGCGTGGTTACCTTCGTTAGGCGAGTTGGAACGCTGGGCTGCCACGTCAAGAACTCCACCTGCCGGAGCGGGAGACAGGTAGAGTGCGTAGTCTCCCTGGAGACGAAACTTACGGATATACAGCTCTCTGTACTGAACCCTCCTTTCTGAAGACCTAGTCGACCCTGCAAGACGACAAACTGATGCGAGACATCTTGAGTAGATAGGAGAGAGGGAGTGTGTGTGTGTGTCAATATATATATATATATATATATATATATATATATATATATATATATATATATATATATATATATATATATATATATATATATATATATATGTATATGCGCATCTTGTACCTAGAATTTCAAATATGTCAAAAGTTCTCTAATTCTGTCATAAATGCTAATATTTCAGTTAAATACTGCGTTTTCGAACAATAACAATGCAGATTAGTGAATGAATTTAAATGATGAATGTAAATGATGAAAATTACCACAGAGAGATCATAAAAGAGCAATTCACCTTTACAACAATATCAAGAAATTATTAATCATCTTCCAAAACGAGAGGAAACTAGACTTGTCTTAAACAGGTAGCTAAGCAATCCGAGAAATGCAAAGATCTGAAGCCAATCAGAAGAGACATTCACAGGTTATTGAATGGAAACTAATGCTCCAGTTAACTCAAGAAAATAGTAAACTTGCCATCTTCACAGCCTAAAAGCAAATCGATCGTCTGTAAAATACTCACGTCTCCTCCGTGTGGTGTATTTTGCCTCTGATATACGAGACTGCATTATGGTTTTGAGATGTAGTTCCTGCAAGAGAAGTCAGGTTTAGAAGTCCTCAAAAGGATGCAAGATAAACCATGCACCTGGAGGTTTTAACAGGGAAGTTCTAACGTTAAAATGTCTGACAAAATATCTGATTAGTCATGTTTAGGACTTAAATCATGCACATATTAGTTAAATGAAAGAAAACTGGCCGAATTCGCTAGAAAATTTCTAGTTTTAAACCAAAGTTGTTGCAGGGACGGAAAACTAGTTGATTTTCTGAAACAATGAAATAAAACAATAAGAGTCTGAATGATGTCATTTTTTTAACCTAAGTGGAGCTGTAGACATAATTATTATGATAGTTACATACTTATATAATCATTAACAGAACTGCGGCTAGCCAGGACTCGATCCTTCGTCGTCATGCGACAGGATAAAGTATGCATCACTTTATCCACTGGACCACAAATTCTCAAATACCAGGCACTCAGTGCAACTGAGCATGTTTTCTCTGGTACGAATACATACGTGGTCATGGAGCCTCAGAGATTAATTTCAACCTCATCCTCATAAACTGCTGGTGAAGGTTGCTACCCCAAAAAGAATGAGGTTGAAATTAGTCTCTGAGGCTCCACGATCACGTATGTTCTCGCATCAGGGAAAACACGCTCAGTTGCACTGAGCGCCTGGTATTTCAGAATTTGTGGTCCAGTGGATAGTGATGCGTACTTTGTCCTGGTCTCACAGGGCTGGGCATGGAGACGCAGGATCAAGTCCTGGCTAGCTGCTGTTCTGTTAATGATTCAGAATCACTTGTTTTGTAATTTCATTAATACTTTAATAAATCATGTTAATGTTCAGATCTTCTCTTACAGTGGACAGAACTCCAATGATAAACTGACACATCTCAACAAGTGTGCAATATTTTGTACAGTATTAGCAAATAATCCACTTTAAGTACCAGAAATCAAGTTTTCATGTGTTGCGCATCATGTCTGATAATGCAGGATTCAATTATATATTTTTTTCGTGTATGCAAGTCGCTACAAAGTAACTCCTTGGTGTGATCATAATTATTGTATGTCCAGGTGTATATATAAATACAGTATACATTTCTTCTGTCCTTTTAGCATTTTTGTACAGCTACAGTTTCGCCTGTGATATAAGAACACAAGAAAGAAGGAACATTGCAACAGGTCTACTGGCCTATACGAGGCAGGTCCATGTCACCCCCCCCCCGGCTTAGACCAATGACCCACCCAGTCAGGTACATCCACTTAAGGAAGAAGCACGGCATCAGACCTAGCAGTACAAGCTAGTCAGGTCCAACTCACACCCACCCACACCCACTCATGTATTTATCTAACCTATTTTTAAAACTACACAACGTTTTAGCTTCTATGACGGTACTCGGGAGTTTGTTCCACTCATCCACAACTCTATTACCAAACCAGTGCTTTCCTATATCCTTCCTGAATCTGAATTTTTCCAACTTGAAACCATTGCGGCGAGTCCTGTCTAGGCTACACATTTTCAGCACGCCATTTACATCCCCTTTATTTATTCCTGCTTTCCATTTATACACCTCAGTCATATCCCCCCTTTCTAGAGAGTGCAGATTCAGGGCCCTCAGACTATCCTCATAGGAAAGCTTTCTGATACATGGGATCAACTCTGTCATCCTCCTCTGTACGTTTTCCAGTGCATTTATATCCATTCTGTAATACGGTGACTAGAACTGTGCAGCATAATCTAGATGAGGCCTAACCAAGGATATATAGAGTTGAAGAACAACCTGAGGACTCTTATTATTTATGCTTCTTGATATGAAGCCAAGGATTGTTAGCTTCATTGCGAACACTTAAGAACATAAGAACGAAGGAACACTGCAGAAGGCCTACTGGCCCATGCGAGGCAGGTCCAAGTCCCTACCGGCTTAAGCCAATGCACCCAACCTAGTCAGGTCAGGTCACATTGACTTAAGGGAGGAACACGGCAACCGACCTGTTAGCACAAGCTATCAGGTCCAACTCACACCCACCCACATCTACTCATGTATTTATCCAACCTATTTTTAAAGCTACACAACGTTCTGGCCTCTATAACGGTACTTGGGAGTTTGTTCCACTCATCCACAACTCTATTACCAAACCAGTACTTTCCTATATCCCTCCTGAATCTGAATTTTTCCAACTTAAAACCATTGCTGCGAGTCCTGTCTAGGCTAGATATTTTCAGCACACTATTTACATCCCCTTTATTTATTCCTGTCTTCCACTTATAAACCTCAATCATATCCCCCTAATTCTACGTCTTTCTAGAGAGTGCAGTTTCAGGGCCTTAGTCTATCCTCATAGGGAAGGTTTCTGATACATGGGATCATCTTTGTCATCCTCCTTTGTACATTTTCCAGAGAATTTATATCCATTCTGTATTACGGTGACCAAAACTGTGCAGCATAATCTAAATGAGGCCTAACCAAGGATGTATAGAGTTGAAGAACAACCTGAGGACTCCTATTATTTATGCTTCTTGATATGAAGCCAAGGATTCTATTAGCTTTATTGCGAACACTTATGCACTGTTGTCTTGGTTTCAGATTACTGCTAACCAGAACTCCTAATCTTTTTCGCAATCCGTAATATTAAGATCTACATTATTTAGTTTATATGTGGCATGGTTATTGTCCTGTCCAACATTTAGAACTTTGCATTTGTCTATATAAACTGCATCTGCCACTTCTCCGACCACTGCATCAGTCTATTCAAATCTTCCTGGAGTGCTCGAATGTCCTCGTCAGAATGAATTCGACGGCCTATTTTGGTGTCATCGGCAAACTTGCCGATGTCGCTCTTTATGCCCTCATCTATGTCGTTTATGTAGATTGTGAACAGCAGGGGGCCCAACACTGACCCCTGTGGAACACCGCTCGTGACGCTTCCCCACTCTGATTTCTCCCCATTTATGCAAACTCTCTGCTGCCTATTTGTCAACCATGCCTCTATCCAGGAAAAAATTTCTCCTCCTATTCCATGTGCTTTAATTTTCCTCAATAGTCTCTGATGTGGGACCCTGTCAAAAGCCTTACTGAAGTCCATATACACAATATCATATTCATTACCATGATCTACCTCCTCAAATACCTTAGTGAAAAAAGTTAATAAATTCGTAAGGCAGGAACGCCCCTTTGTAAAACCATGCTGAGATTCGTTGATTAATTTATGCTTTTCAAGGTGGCTACGAACTGCCTCGGCAATTATTGATTCCATAAATTTTCCCACTATGGAGGTTAGGCTTATTGGTCTATAGTTCGAAGCTAAGGACCTGTCACCTGTTTTGAAAATAGGTATCACATTTGCCATTTTCCACTTATCTGGCACCATGCCAGTTTGTAGTGATATGTTGAAAAGATTAGCCAAAGGTGTGCTAAGCTCCTCTTTACATTCCTTTAGAACCCTTGCATACAGTTCATCAGGGCCTGGGGATTTGTTAGGTTTTAATTTATCTATTTGCCTAAGGACCATGTCACTTGTGACCCTAATAGTGCACAGTTTATTATCGTCCTGTTCTACATAATTTATCATTACTGGAATATCGCTGGTATCCTCCTGTGTAAAAACTGAGAGGAAGTATGTGTTAAAAATTCTACACATTTCCTTATCACTGTCAGTGAGCTGACCCGAGGAACTTTTGAGTGGGCCTATCTTGTCCCTGATCTTACTTCTGTATACCTGAAAGAATCCTTTTGGGTTAGTCTTCGATTCTCTTGCAACTTTAACCTCATAATCTCTATTTGCTTTTCTAATTCCCTTTTTTATTTCTCTCTTTAACTGAATATATCGATTTCTTAATTGCCCCTCTCCTCTTTTGATTTGCCTATATATGCCTCTCTTTTGACCAATCAGATATTTTAATCTATTGTTCATCCATTTAGGATCATTTTTGTTTGATCTGATTTCCCTATTTGGAACATAATTTGACTGAGCAGCTAGAACTATGCCCTGGAAAGCATCATATCGGCAACCATCACCACCTACCTGACCCCTAGTCAGGTCATTCCAGTTCAGCCCACCTAAGTAATTTTTCAGTCCTATGAAATCAGCCAAGCGAAAGTCAGGGACGGAGACTTGATTGCCATTATTAGGGGAATTCCATGATATGTTAAAACTTACGCACTTACGCACTGTTGTCTGGGTTTCAGATTACTGCTAACCAGAACTCCTAAATCCTTTTCGCAATCAGTAATATTAAGCTCTACATTATTTAGTTTATATGTGGCATGGTTATTTTCCTGCCCAACATTTAGAACTTTGTATTTGTCTATATTAAACTGCATCTGCCACTTCTCCAACCACTGCATCAGTCTATTCAAATCATCCTGGAGTGATCTAATGTCCTCATTAGAATGAATTGGTACAGAATAAACATTCAATGACAATTGGGAGCATTTAATAAAAGCCGTTTTGTAACAGTAATCATAATAATAAGGGGAAATTTATGTATGTGGAATAAATGCGAAAAATTATAACTTTACAAGATAAAATATGTTGTAGTTTATGTAATCAGACTTAAGGTCAATTATATATGTAGTATTTTTATTTATACACTATTTTTAATAAAGATCAAAAGCACTGCATTAGGGAGTGGTAAAAGAAGAAAATACTCAGCTCCGGGGAGAAGCCTCCATATTTTTCATAGAAGTTCGTTTATTTTTTGTATCCTTCACAAAATCCATGGTTACCCGTTGTTAGATCCTAGTGCCTCTGATGTATACAGGTCCATCAAAATTTACTTTACCTCTTCCCTTAATATTTTTGCCACTAAGGCATTCTCAAGGTCACAAGCAGAGGAAATGTTCATTGATCGTCTTAGGGTAGGTTAGGTTAGGTTCGTCAGGAAACAGGGCAAGTGTTTCCTGACGCGGGTCTTAGTCATATGCTGACCCGCCGTTGGAGCTTTTGGTCATCTGACCGAGGCCTTCAACTGGCTTACCGGTCTACCCCTTTAAAAATTATGGTCATAGGTATAATTTTTTTTATCTTCATAGAAGACATGCATTTATATATGGGAGTAACAGTGACGTCACTATAAATGTCAAGGTGCCGTTTTAACAAATCAAAACCAATTTGAATATGTAGCCAGCTTAGCTATAGAAATAATTTAAATTTATTATACTTTTAACTTTGCACTTCTGTTAATATTTTAATTATATTCCTAATTTATAACTTATTGGAACGTAATTATTACGAACCGAGGTGTGACGTCAACGTTCCCGTAGTGGACAGGAGTAGGCTGGAACCAGGCACCCATTATGATGACTCGGCAGCTCTAAGTAAGGCCTATTAACTTATTCTGCGGCCCAACTATACGCTTACAGCCCACGCTAGATAAAATTACCTGCAAAAAACAAAACAGCCTATTAACATGCAAGTACGTTTACTGACCCAACATGATACTGGAGACAAGGCTGAGTACGTTTACTATAGCCTCTTCTTAATGAACTATTAAAAACAATGTCACTTTTTTGCAGGCAATTTATATTGATTGCGTGGACAATAATACTTAAACTGGCTACAAAAAATATAATAATAATAATAATTTATATAACTAAATAATGAAGGGGTGGTACAAAGTTATAAACTATCGCTGGAACTCCTGAAGAGACAATATGAACGTCCGAGACTTCGACAGCTAGTTTAGCCTTACACGGCTTTATAGTTACAAGCAAAACAACCGCTCCTAACCCACCACCTTTACCGCTCCTTGTTAACTGCTACTACAAGAAATAAAGCAAATAAATTTTTTAGCTTTATATCAGGAAGAATAAATAACAGTATGCATGTATATCTTTGGTTACTAGACCTCATTTAGATTATGCTGCTCAGCTCTAGTCTCCATATTACAGGACATGAATGCGCTGGAAATATATACAGAGAGGAAATGACGAAGTTGATCCCATGTATCGGAAATCATTTCTACGGAAATTGGTTAAATCTGAAAGACGTATAATTTAAGGGGGACATAACTGAAGGAAAAAATAAAGGGGATTCAAGATGGACAAATGTAGATTGAGGAAGGATTACTGGTAAGTACTGGTTTGGCGATTAAGAGTTTTAGATGCGAGTAACAAACTCGCCGGTAGCGTCATTTTGGGTAGCTTTAAATATAGGTTGGACGGGTTTACGAGTGGGTGTGGTTGGATGTGAGTTAGACCTGCCTACCATATGCCAATAGCCTTACCACAGTGTTCCTTCTTGTGTTATTAAGACACTGCATGAGCAGCAAGGCGTGAGAGGTGGACAGAGGTATGGTTGGATTATTATAATAATGGGGAGCGCTAAACCCGTAGGATTATACAGCCCATATGGGGGTGGAAGGTATTCAGGCTCAATTCAGGGAACCGGAGTACAGATCCAATTCCCTAGATCAAGAGCCCCTGATCAGCGTCAAGGAACCTCCCTTGAGGGGAGGAGTGGTTGGAAAAGTGTTAATTTCTTAATGGTCTTTCCACCACAAAGAGAAAGAAAAAAAAGTCACCATCAGATGCTGCATATTTTTTCACACACCAACTAAAAACATGATACGCTAAAATTAAACTGCCAAAACAATATATTTAAAGTCATAAAACAAATAAACGTCATCGTACATTAAAAAAAAAAAAAAGACATCGAATCACACACTAAAAGTTGCACCTAAAATGTTACAGATGTCTGTAGACACCTCGGGGTTATAAAACCAATTATTAATCTTAAAAAGACAAAGACACACTCCCGTTAGGATAAGTACCAGCAGCAAGCTACAAGTTGCACAGGAATAGGATACCCCACGAGCAGGTGGTCATGAGAGTGTGAGACAAGGTTGCAGGAGGACACTCAAACAGCAGCCTTTGCATCCTCCTATTCACTGGACGGAACCCCGACATGCCCCGAGAACGAATAGAACTCCGCCTCCTTGTTCCTGGAATGGATGAGCATTGTGATATGAGGGAGTATGGTAGACATACCTCTGAATAGGGTTGTAGGGTGTGAGTGATTATGGTGAGCATGTCGAGTGGGTGGTGCTGAGGACGATGTTGCCGCTGATTTGATGGCTTTAATAATCTTGGTAATATAAGCGAGTCAGGAGATGAAGATGAGTCTATTGACTGAGATGAGCTTGGTGACCTTTGTGAGCAAGGAGATTCAAGCGAACATTGGAAACTATTGAAACCTCGTAGCCTAGTTGTGTCAGCTACTACAGAAGAGTTTGATTTACGTGAATCAGGTCGCCTAAGCGAATCAGACGAATCCAGAGACCTGGGGCTCAACCACTCCAGCTCCTTCACCATAGCCTCCTGTACTTGTGTCCTGAAGAAAACAAACAAAGACAAGTATTAGAACGAAATTAAAAGATAAACAAATATTTAACAATAAATTTGGCACATTATGTGCATTTTGCTTATATTAATCACTACATCCTGCAGTATCCATCACACAAATTAAATTTGAAGGGCTAAGGCTTAGGATCGAAACATGCAATGAGGTTAGATTTCCTATATTTTTAATAATCATCTGATTTAAACAGAAGTTTGCAACCATCAAACTTATATAATGGACGTAATTACGTAAATAACAGAATAGAGGACAGCTGATATTATTTTATTTTAGTCTCAGGCAACGAAATACTATTGTGAAGGGCTTGAGAGTAATAATGTCAGAGGATTTCACCTTCAAGAGTCACAATAGTGTCACTATCACATCTGCGAAGAAACTTTTTTTATAATGGTTGTAACCACGTAAATAACAGAATATTAGCTGTTTGTCTCGTGTTCGTATAGGTGCCGATTAAAACTGCTTTTCTTTAACTTATATAAAACTTATTCGGGGTTTCGGTTACATGGGGAAAAATATGCCTCTCTCTTGACTGATTGAGCCGAACATTCTTAATCTGTTGATATTAAAACTGTATATGCATATGTTTATTCACCCTTTAAAGGAGTTTTCTAATCCATTTTAATGTTTCACCATAAGCTAACAACATGCACTTACTAAAGTCTTCAGATATGGATGCTCTTCTTAATTGGGTAACACGATTAAGAAGAGCATCCAAGAATAAGAGCTTTTCTTTATTTTTTCCATTCTTATCGAATGATATAATGATTCCAAATTATCTCATGATATCCACAGAAGACGCCAACATGCCGCCCTACTGAGCAGGTCAATGCGACCTTGGCTCAAGGAGGGAGATGGTATATCATTGTACCCATGTAATGTGATCCTCAGACATGCTCCACACTCTTCCCGCTTCCTCACTCTATTAAGCTATTCATAACTTTCGTGATTTTTTTTATCTATTATTTTTTGCTTCATAATCTTGGGTCATATCAGAATAATAGTGTTTCTACGGTGTAAATGCAATAATCTAAATATTACTGAAGTAAGATTTTACTACCATTAAACAAGTGCCCTGAAATCTGGCTGATAGCTATAAAATATTTTCATTTAAGTATCTATTTACATATACTGATCTCATTGGGTGAAGTCTGTTTTAAGATATAAGGGAAGCTCAAGCAAAGATAAACTATTGTGAAGGACCTGCGAGTAATAATGTCAGAGGATTTCAACTTCAAGGATCACAACAGTGTCACTATCACATCTGCGAGGAAAATGATAGTATGGATAATGAGAACTTTCAGAACAAGGGGTGCCATGCCAATGATCATCTTTAAGTCACTTGTTCTCTCTCTAGGCTGGAATACTGCTGTACACTAACAGCCCCATTCAAAGCAGGTGAAATTGCAGATCTAGAGAATGTACAGAGAACCTTCACTGAACGTATTAGTTCAGTCAAGCACCTTAATTACTAGAAACGTTCTAAGTAATTTGACCTGCATTCCCCGAAACACAGGCAAGAAAGATATACCATAATCTACACCTGGAAAATCGTAGAGGGCCTGGTTCCAAATCTACACACATAAATCACTCTCTACAAAAGGAAAAGACTAGGCAGACCATGCAACATACCCCCAGTGAAAAGCAGGGACACCATGAGTACACTGAAAGAAACCACAGTAAGTGTCCAGGGTCCAATAATGTTCACAACCTCCCATTATACATAAGGGGAATTACCATTAGACCTCTCGTTGTCTTCAACTGGGAACTGGAAAAATACCTAAAGTCAATGACCGATTAGCCGGGTTGCGACTCATACGTTGGACTGCGTGTGGCCAGCAGTAACAACCAGGCCCTGAGCCACCGGGAGGCCTGGTTGAGGACCCGGCCGCGGGGGCACTGATTCCCGCAACAACGTCTAGGTAGGTAGGGAGGCAGCCACAACACCCGCTGTGGTCTGGTGTAGTGGTCTGAAGTGTAGTTGTTCACACGAATCACTTTACAGGCCCTATAGTGTGTGTGTACTTATTTGTGGTTGTAGGGGTCGATTCACAGCTCCTGATCTCGCCTCTTTGCTGGTCGTTACTGGGTCCACTCTCTCCCTGCTCCGAGGGCTTTATCGTACCTCTTTTTAGAGCTGTGTACGTATCCTGCCTCCACTACATCACTCCCCAGATTATTCCACCTCCTGACAAGTCTATGACTGAAGAAATACTTCCTAACATCCCTGTCACTCATCTGAGTTTTCAACTTCAAGTTGTGACCCCTTGAGTGTGTGTGTGTGTGTGTGTGTGTGTGCGTGCATACCAAGTGGAGGAAGAGGAGGAAAATGAAGGGTCAGGAGAGAGATAGATAGATAGATAGAGAGGAGAAGAGAGAGAGAGAGAGAGAGAGAGAGAGAGAGAGAGAGAGGAGAGGAGAGAGAGAGGAGAGAGAGAGAGAGAGAGAGAGAGAGAGAGAGAGAGAGAGAGAGAGAGGAGAGAGAGAGAGAAGAGAGAGAGAGAGAGAGAGAGAGAGAGAGGAGAGGAGAGAGAGAGAGAGAGAGAGAGGTTGAAGAAGAGAGAAGAAAGAACTTCCTATAAATAATATAGTTCAAATAAAAAAAATGTTAGGTTTTGGCCTAATAAATTAACTCGCAGGTTCATATGACAATCACTGTACGTGAATGTCATATGAACCTGATTTTTCTTGGAATCGTGTCTAGGAATTAACACCACTTGGTGTAACTAGTAACTGGATAGGTAACCCCCGTGGACACAAGACAGCCTCTTCCGTTATATTATATGCAGGCTGCAGCTTCTGCTCTTTCCTGGTCAGTTTAGACATGCGTAGCACTAGTTTATTTTTTCACTGTGAAACATGGTCAATCATTGGTATGTCACAAGGGACACAGAACGTCAAAACTAGGAACCAGAAGAGAACTCGAACAAAAACTCAGAGAATTTTATGTCTGCCCCATCCCCAAAAAGACTTAGTTTCCGTACGCTTATTCATAAGGTACTTCTCTTTCCTGCTTAATTTCCGCCAGCCTACGGTAGGCCACTTTAGTTTTGTGCGATATAACGTCATAATTTTCAAAGCGTGTTGTGTTCTGTAATGAGTTAAATGTTTTCTTCTTTTAACCCGGGCAGTGACAGTGTCGGGCACATCAGAAAATGAAGACTAAAGTTATTTAGAATGCATCATTTAATAAAAGAAACATCATAAGAAAGAGGAAGTGAAAGAATCACACAACATTAAGAGGCTGAATATTTCACTAACATGATCCACAGTGACAAGGTCACACTGCATTTTATGCTGTAGGTGTTAAAAAATCTGGAATCTACCACAAACAAGTCAACACACCGAACCTTAAACACATCTGCAAATATTTTATTATACACATAAAAGGTAAAGTAATAACAAACAAGTGGCTTGTAGCTCAGTGATAATAACGTTATCCGTTCACAGCTGAAGGACTCGGGTTTAATACTCGGGCGAGTGGAGACAAGAAAATGTTCCCTTGGCCTGGTGGCTGTAGGTCTCGCTTCACACGGCGAGGGTCTGGGTTAGATTCCCAGCCAGGGAGAAACATTGGTTTTGTTTCTTTACACCTGTTGTCTATGTTCATCCATCAGTAATATGGGTACCTGGGTGTAAGGAGACTGGCGTGGGTCGCATCCTGGGACACTGACCTAATTTGCCCGAAATGCTCTGCACAACAAGGGGCTTTCTGTATAGTAATATGTCACTGATGTCAGCTAGGCCTGTATACCTTGTACATGTATTTGTAGTAAATAAAGATATTATATTATTATTACTGGTGTAGTACTACAGAAAAAAAGGTTAGGTTAGGTTCATGCAGCAGGGAATAGGTACTGGGCGTCAGCCGACTGTTGTGGGTGAATATAGGATACATAATATATAGAGTACATACAGTGAAAACTTAACTTTTATCTCTGGTTAGCGATAATGTACACTGTCTAGGTGAATTGCCGCCTTAAAGACCTATATGCTCTCACTAAGCCTTAAATCTATGGTGAGGACTAGTGCGTAGACAAGCTCAGCAATGGTCCTCGGTGGTATAATCACCCTATAGTTTTTTCGGGGTGGGGGAGGGATAGCAGTTCCATTCTTGAGGGGCTGTGACGGGCCCCCGGTAGCAATTCGTCCTCCACCTTCAATAGAGAGTGTGGGATTACCATCATTTTAAACACTGAGGATGTGTTCTACGCAGCCTGACATAATTGCTCATTTGTTTACTTTGAGATTAGCTGTTAAGAAACGCATATAATAATTAATTTAGGTTAGGTTCACCTAACTTAACCTAGACAACTAATACATAATTTTTTTACAGCTCTTTGGATCGTGCATAAAAAAACATCATAATGCATGTAAACAAAACCTAGCCCTCTATTTAGAGGACCAGACAGGAAAGGCAGGCGGGTGAGCACAAACAAACGAACGTTGAGCTGTGCTGGTGCCACTTGTGTTGCAGAAAAACCTGAGAGAGCCGACTGTTCATAGACTGTCTCCAAGCCAGTCCCTCGAGACCACCCCGAGGTTCCCCACACACCTCTTGTAACACTCATCTTGCCGCTTCTCACAGAAATGCTGCGCAAAGGGACTCCCACAGTAATACACCTGAGTTAACGGAGGTGACGTTAGGCTAAGAAAGCCTTGGTGACATCAGGCTAGGTGAGAGCAAATTAGATTAGGTAGCATCGCACCAGGTTGCCTTGGTCAAGGACGTAAGATAAATGCCCACAGTAGGCCTACTGGCGCATAATAGGCCATTTGCATCAGGTTAACCTTGGTCAAGTACATATAAATGCACTGTAAGTCATCCTACTTATAGTAGGCCATTTTCACTTTTGTATCTATTTATCCAGCTTACCAGAATCTGCTTGTGATACTACTTGGAAGTTTGTCACACTCATCTGTAACTTTTACCCGGGCAGTTCTTTTTAATAACCTTTCTAATTATGAATTTATAC